GGTTTCAGGAATTAAGCTGAGTAGTGGAGGACAGAAGGTTATGGAGATCTCTCATCCATAGGGTCACCATGATTCGAGAACAACTCGAGGGCAGTTAACAAAAAAAACAAAGTGACCCAAGAAAATCTCAATACACTCCTAGTGTAATAATGTAAATCCACTCCTGAGTTATAATGTAAATGCATGCTTCTTGGTCATGTTCCAAATCAAATACCTTTTGGGAGTTTCTCTTGGACAGAAAGTTGAAATGGAGGAAATGTCCTGGAAAAGGGAGGACCTCTCTGTCACCCTGTATATGCACGTTTCCACAGCTCAAAAATACACTTCCTCCACAGGAAAGTCCAGTGGGAAGGTTGACATGGAGGACATTCTAGAAAAAAAGGAGGACATGACTTTAAAAAAGCTAAAAAACAGTCCTATAAATGTAATAAATTCATGCCTCTTAGTCATGCCTCAAATGGAGGACTTTTTGGAATTCCTCCTGGACAGAAGGTTGGAATAGAGGACAGGTCCTGGGAAAAGAGGACCTCTGGTCACCCTGCCCACAACTCAGTTCCTCAACAGGAAAGTTCAGCAGTAAGGAAGGTGGAAGGAGCCTCCTTCACCCATCCACCCTCCATTTCAGAAACAAAGGCAGGGTGCTGACTGTAGAACAAATACCAGAGACTATATTGTGGCAACACCTTTGTTAGGTCAGCCAAACAGGTTTTCTTTTTTGTTCCTTGTGGGTTGGCTTCATAACAGTCTTAGCCCCATATGGATTTTGGAAAAAGAACAAGGAATATAGGAGGCAGCTAGTTAAGTGTGGGGCTGACCCATTCTGTTTATCTTGGAAGCAGTCTGTGTATTCACAGTACCTTTCCTCAGCCATACTACAGAGCAGGCCATTATTTCTAACATACTAGATACCCTCAACTATAAGTCAACATCATGTCAAGGGCAGGTTTTGTATTGTATTGTTTTTATTGTTGTAAGCCGCTCTGATTGGGCCTCCAAAGGGCTGGATATAAATAAATTTTATTATTATTATTATTTATTAGGTTTTGGATCTAAAATTAGGGATTTTGACATGACCCATGGATAGGTTGCAGGTAAAACTTAGGGACATGTAACAAAAGATGTAAAAGAAGAAGCAGAGGAAAACAATGCCAAAGAACTTGCAGTATTTCAGTAGACATAACTATGTTCACTCTAAAGGCTGGATTTATGAGGAAGTTGTTGTGTGCCTTCAAGGCATTACTGACTTATGGCAACCCTAAGGCAACCATCTTGTGGGGTTTTCCTGGCAAGACTTGTTCAGAGGAGGATTGCCATTACCTTCCCCTGAGGCTGAGAGAGTGTGACTTGTCCAAGGTCACCCAATCAGTTTCATGACTGAGCTGGGAATTGAACCCTGGATTCCAGAGTTGTAGTCCAACACTTAAACAACTATGCCATGCTGGCTACTGTGGCACATCATGGCTGTGAGATGTGTGTGGGAGGTAGCCAGACACAGCCAGGGTTAAAAAATATACACGTGTCAAAAAGAATAAAAAAGACAAGGCAAAGAAAATGGTGACTACTAGGGGTTGCAGACTGCCAGAAATAGTGCAAATTGAGCCCACTTTTAGGGTTAGGGTTAGTGCTAGGGAATCATGGTATTTTTTTTTCTGAGACATTGAGCCTTCTCTGTCAGAGAGCTCTGGTGCCACAATAAAATACAGTTCCCATGATTCCCTAGCACTAACCCTAACCCTAAAAGTGGACTCAATTTGCACTATTTCTGGCAGTCTGCAACCCCCCTACATTAGCAACAATTATAACCTTTAACTTTAATGTGATAACTTTGCCTGATTATAACCCAGAAAAGCAGACAAACATACACAAATTTCTTAGTCAAATCCTTCAGTGCCTGATACCCCTCGGTGTTCCTTTGAGGAAAAGAGATTCCACCTCGACATGAGGAAGAACGTCTTGACAATAAGAGCTGCTCAACAGTGGAATACACTCCTTCAGAGCGCAGTGGAGTCCCCTTTTTGGAGGTTTTTAAACCGAGCCTGGATGGCCATCTGTTGGGGGTGCTTTGATTGTGAATTCCTCCATGGCAGGGAATTGGACTGGATGGTCCTTGTGGTCTCTTCCAACTCTATGATTTTATAGTTCTAAGTGCCTTTGCAGACTGCTAGAAATAGTGCAAATTGAGTCCACTAACTGCCTTGACTCAGTGCTAGGGAATCATGGGAGCTGTAGTTTATTGTGGCACCAGAGCTCTCTGACAGAGAAGGCTCAATGACTCAGAAAAAAAAAAATACAAGTCCCATGATTCCCTAGCACTGAGCCAGGGCAGTTAAAGTGGACTCAATTTGCACTATTTCTAGCAGTCTGCAAAGGCCCTAAGTTTCAAAGACTTACTGCCTCTGCCATTTTCCCACCCAGGCATTCAAAAAGGTCAGAAACAGCACTGTGGCGGAGAGAATAGAGGTGGTAGGTGCTTCTTTTAGGTTCTCCCAGGACAGACTAAGTTCTCACCTTTGCCACTCCATTCAGAGAAGGGGATGGTTCCTTTTTTGATTGGCATTAAAGTACATTACTTACATTGACCCATGGATAAGTCAACCCAGGTTTTTTAGATCAATTTTTGGACTAACATTTCCAGAGTTATACATGAATATACACAGTAGTATATATAGACCATAACAAAAGGTGTTAAGAACCAGTGTGGTTTAGTAGTTTGTGTATTGGATGAAGACTTCAGAAGACTAAGGTTAGAATCTCTACATGGCCATGGAAACCCAGTGGGTGATCCTGGGCAAGTCACATTCTCTCAGCCTCACAATTTTTCACAATAAATTTTTGACAGTTCCATATTTAAAAGTATTCAAGAACATCTGCATGTGTGGAACTAATATTTATATGTTCATTTTTACCTGTTTAACTTCATAGGTTAAACTCTGAGCCCAATATACTTTCAATTTAGAATTAGGTGTGATCCCAAGAGTCAAAGATCAATGAGAAGACATGCACTTCTCAAGTTTATTGTTACTGTGTGCCTCCAATTCCTTCCAACTTATGGCGACCCTAAGGCAAACCTATCCTGGGGTTTTCTTGGCAAGATTTGCTCAGAGCAGATTTGCCTTTGCCTTCCTCTGAGACACAGAGAATGTGACTTCACTGAGGTCTCCCATTGAGTTTCCATGGCTGAGTGGAAATTCAAAACCTGGTCTCAGGAGAAAGAAAAATGGAATCTTAGGACCTTATCACACGGGGTCTAAAGCAGTGCCATCCCCGT